TTTTTTTTTTTTCATTTTTATCTGTGTCTCTCTGTGTTTGTCTCTCTTTCTCTCCCTCTCTCGCGTGCACATTCTCACTCGTCGTTCTTTCATATGTCTCAAACATTTTCCGCTCAATCATCCTCGATTTTAAATATTTGTTTTTTTCTTTTTTTTTTATGTAACGTCGCAGTTTATATACAAGTAGAAAAAACCTAATAACATTATCAACTATCACACCTTGTACACCATTACGAATGGTACGTTACACTAGTACGTTACACTATGCGCGTATTAACTAAAAAGACATTCGTACTGACTTAGAAGTCTGGCTTCCTTCTCTATTCGCAACACGGTTGCTCGTGCATCGATTTCGATAAGATCAAAAATACAAACTCTCTTCTCGTGGAAAAAGAAACTTTTTTCATACAAACTCCCTTCTCGTGAAAATCCCCCCGCGCGCATATTTGTTGTATAACACTCAGGCACGCACACATACATATACATACAAACTCCGTTTTCTCTGGTATGTACAACTAGAAAATACATAACACAGCTACTTATATGTGTACAAGTAACCGATTTTACAGGAAATGTACAGAGGTGAACGGTGATATTTCACGCTTACGTTCTGTTTAGGACTTAAGTGTACACGACGCCTGGTTTTATACTCCGTTGGAAGGTGCCTCTTATCACTAAATTAATATACTTTCCTAGAGCAATGCGATAGGAATCGGAACGGATAAAAAAATGTGAAATTCAGTATATAGAAAAATATCAGATTATCTGTGCTCTTCAACACAGAGATTATACACAAATTTATAACGTATATGAAACGTAAAAATTCGTAGAATGTACTATGTTCTTGTGAACATAAATACATCGTAAATTACGATTAAAAGAAAAAGAAATCATACATTTTATTTTTTGTTATCTTTTTTATCAAATAAATTCATACTTGCATTAAAATACTTTGCAACAATGAAAAAAAGATTGTTGTGTGCAAAAATCTTTTTAAAAAAAAAAAAAAAAAGTAGACAACCTTCCATCGTACAAAATTCTTGCGTCTTGAGAATGATTATGCTTACTAAGCGCAGACGTAAAATATACATTTGGTCGTAAAACTGTACGCTTCATGCTGGAGCGAGGCATTCTTAATATATCCTTATCCTCCTGCAGAAGGTCCTTAATTCTAATAAAAAGCTATCAACGATTCTTATAAATTGCGTTCACAGTTTATGGCAACAAAAAGTAACCATGTTTTTTTTTCCTTTGTTAATTATTTTGTGAGACGCGAATCTTATCATAATTATCGCACAATGAAAAAGAAAACGAAATAAATTTGGACAATAGGGTCAATTATACTAATCGCAAAATTAATAAACAAATTATTGGTAAAACTAAGCACGATCGTGCCTGCATTCTTTGTTGATGACCACAAAATGGGTAACGATTTTTCATTTCTCTCTTTTCTTAGAAATAAAGTGATCACGAAGAGAAATATCTTCGTCTCGCTTTATCTCCTGTAATGTTGCCAGATTCAATTTTCAACTCTTAAATTCATATTTCTCGTATATTTAAGAGTGTATCAAAATAATTTAATTTATGACTAGTTTTGCCTCTCGGTAACTTTATCTGACAGATACCTAGTAAAATTCTTTTTGTCTCTGAAAAAAATTCAGAATATTGATCTGCCATGACAAGTTAATCTGTCATACGTATTTACCTAGAAAAGCTATAACCAGTATTTATAAATTTATCTTCTTCTCGTTATATATCACATACATTCTAAACACCTTTCGTTAGAATGTGTTTGACACAAGTAATGAAATTAATGAAAATACAGAATCTGGCAACGTTGTTAATATACAATATTTGCGAAATATATGCTTGTGATATCGTTTCGCATTCGGTTTCCACATATTACTATATTTACAAGTCGCGCTAGATAGATCTATTACGTATACTATATTATCTTACTATTTTTAAGGCTAATTTAGCTTGCTGCACACACGTGACGTGGTCCATGTGACATCTGAAGACACTGGGTGGTCAGTCGCTATCGGAGCCCACTGGATTAATTTTTTTTCTCTTCTTTGCTTGTTTTACATTCACAATTTCTTCTTCCTATGTTATAGTAATTAAATTTCAGAATACCAGAATCCAAATAATACGAAAGATGGCTATTTTAAACTACTTTCATCTTTACCTCGCTACTAGATGTACTGTCCAAATGATACCGAGGAAGCGGCCTTTTTGAACTAGACCTTTCCCTCGTGTTAGCACCAGTTTTTCTGTGACCTTTACCACCAGCACCTCCGCCACCTCCAGCCGATGCCGCTGCATGTTTTCGTGCCGAGCTTGTTGGTGGAGGTGGAGGAGGTTCATTTTCTTCGTTAACTTCCGCGAGGGCGAATAAATCTCCATAACTTTTTCTTAAAGAATCACTACTAGCTGCTTGTGCTTGTTGTAGAGCTCTTTGCATTCCTTCGGAATGATAAAGCTGCAATTCAGCGGATGACATACAGTGTTGTCTTAATTGATCCAAATGACCAAGAACTTGTTCGCCAGTAGGTGGACCAGATTGTTGATTGTGTTTAGCACTAGATCGTTTCCGTTTGTTTGGACTCGTAGCAGGATAACGAGTAATTAGAAGATTCGCGAGCAACTCACCAAGTTTTTCTTCGTAATCGCGGCACCAGTAACGTAATGCCGCCACAACAAACATATCTCCATCTACATTTTGCCGTGCAAGCAATTGTCGCAAAAGTTCTAACGTTGGCCTGTTAAATATTATTAATATTTAATTAAATTTTTATATCAATCATTTCAGTTTTCAATAAATAATTTACTTACTTTTCTTGTTTGAGCATAAACAATATCGATGTTAATGCTTCTGCGTGATCTCGAAATTGTAATTTAGGTAAAACGGGTAATACATAATCAATTGGAAAATCATGGGCAAAGATAAGCTGCCAGAAACAATATTGTTCAAAAGTTTCCCAATTTAAACTTGCTGTCAAAAGTGATGTAAATGATTCCTTTTTTAACATTTTTAAATGTCCTTGCATTATTTGGCAAACTAATTCTTGCAATTGGCATGCATCAACAGTCGAGACAACCAAATGCAATAATTGTACATTTCCAAGAGCTACATTTTGAAAGCCCATGTATACATCAGGCACAAGGTAACACAGCATGAATATGTTATCTTCATGGCAAAGCTATAAAAAAAAAAAAAAA